TGCTCATATGCAACCTCACTGACTCAGTAAATGGAAAGCTCTGAAATGATTAGGAGGAATTAAAAGAACAAGTCTGAGGTTAAAATTTAGTATATTGAGGCAAAATAACTATGCTGCATTGCAGACAACAGGCCACCAGGCAAAAGGATGTCATCGGATAGTCCACAAGTTTCGTTAGAGACAAGGGGGACCTTCAAAATGGTCACGGTAGACACTCATTTCACCTGAGCAATTGCGCAAGATTTATTCCTGTTGATACTAACATGTCCTGGGCCATTACGTAGGAAGACAAAAAGAAACATTGACGGTAGGTTTTGTAAAACCAGATGGTTAATCAGTCCAGGCCAACCAGGAATTACTGATCATGAGGCATGTGCAATGTATTAGCTTCTTAAATGCAGAAGAAACAAACATATTGAGAGTCACTTGGGTCCTCACCAAGACTGTGTCTGCTTACATCTGCGAGACTCTGGTACAAACTACTTCCCAGACAAACTTCTGGAAGACCATGAGAGACAATGCTACATGCTCACAGCACCAGGCTTCTAAAGGGAAGATGGCTCAATGGCAATCTGGAGTGTTGCAGCCCCTTTTTTCATTCTAACTTGCAATGACCTTCAATATCAGCATTATGGCTCCACCAATCAGGGAGGCAAGGCCTGGCATCAGCAAAGATTGTTGAAGAATGGGAGAAAAGAGGGATATACAAAGATAGCTAGCAACAAAAGTAGCTCAAAGGCAGACCGAAAGGAATCTACCCATGCCTCCCCTTGGAACTGCAGGAGTTTAATCCCATTGGATGCCACCCCCTCTAACCTCAACCAGCACATACATGCTAGAGGTTGACATATTGTGAAAAAGCAGCATGACTTTGACAGTTGCTGGCAGGGTTTTTTGCTGCCTACAATGTTTAGTGCAGGTATCTTTGAATGTTAGCTATCCTGCACAAATCAACTGCCGATTCTTGCATTTCAACTCTGTGTTGCCATGGCTCTTCTTTTGTGGGCAGGGAACCATGAAAGTTGCCTTCAGATGTGAATGTACTAGCTCACTAACTGGAATCTAGGTATTAAGGAAGCTCAGAAGAAATTTTATCATGCTCAGGGTGGAGTGGACTTACTGAAGCAAAAATTGAAGCTACAGGCTGAACACATTTAACACAGCTATAGATGAGTATAATCCCATGTGGCAGACACAGCTCTATAAAATCTGAGCAATTTTTGTCCGTGAATGTGAAGCATTTTAGAAGCATCACATTGCTAGCATTGGCAATGACAACACTTTTTTGCATACTAGAAATGGAACATATAGAAAGAAGCACATTTCAAGCTATGAGCTTTAGAAAGATAACTATTTGGACCTCAGCACAAATTCTGCTGGGCCTCTTGTGAGTATCATGCAAGTATCATGAAATTCCTGGACTATCATGCTTCTGGTCAGGCCAGTGACTCTGTGAGAGTAGTTTCTTTTGCAACATGTTGGCACTTCTGCTTTCAGTCTTAGATTGGATGTGCAAGCAAAGAGGCTCATGGAAATGACAAAATGATAATCCACCTGCTTTGATTGTTCAATTCTAGTGGGGTTGAGTGGGTCCCCCCCCCCTTCATTTTATCTCGATCATCATCATTGTTTAAAATACTCCTCAACTTTCATCATTTCATCTCCATGCTCTGGTTTCATAATGGCAAAAATGAAAGCACAAGTTGCATTTGTCCTTGGGAGAGAGAAAGGGGCCTCATTCCACTGAAAACCAAAATGAACAGGGGGAACAATTCCTCTACCAGATCACAGGGCACCCATCTTGTCCTTTGGAAATCCCAGAGATACTGGAGATCACCTGATGAAACAGGGAACAGGCAGCGATGGAAGCAACAAAAGAAGGAAAATGAAGCGTGTATTCACCACTTCCAGGTATTTAAAAATAACACCCTCAAGATTAGAAAGGACTTGGGCAACGTTCTGCAAAATGAAACATGTTAAAGGAAAGCCAGAAGTGCTGGAGACATCTCCCTGTAGCATTTTTCACACTCAAGTGTTCGGAGTCAATGTTATTAACACGTGTCCTGACTTATTTAAAACTCCAGGAGCAAGGGAAAAAGAGAAAAATGCACGATTGGTGCTTCCAATTCAGCTGCTCTGGGAAATTCAATAGGAGCTCCCATTATTTATTTACATATCAAAGAAACAGGCTGAAAATGAATTTAGTGCTGGTGAAAGAAGCTGGATCAATGGCATTGGAGGATGGAGCCTTCTTTGTAGCCAGGGAGGATGGATAAAATCAGCACAAACTTCTTCACCAATGTGCCACAGTTCTTCTCTGGACAGTCCACATTTGGGTGTAAGAGGAAAGTTGAGACTTTCTAAAACAAGTTTGGTTAACTCTGGCACCTAAAATTGGCTTCCAGCTTCCACCTCCAGGGAAGGTACCAAAACAGCCTCAGAAAAGGGTTCTCACTACATTACAGACATGCAGGAATCTGTTCTCACTGTCCCACAGCACAATTTTGCTACTTCAAAAGGTTTAGCTCAAAATCAAATGAACAACTGAATTAGTGGGTGCTTATCTGAAGAGACTGGCCCCACTTACTCAGCCTCAGCTTCCTGTAAGAGAAAGTCAGATCTCTTTATGGGACTGGAATACATTTTTCGTATTGCACAGGATGACGCAGTGAGCACAGCAAAGGGAGAGCAAGCAGGACTCTGGAATGTGAGCTGCACTGACAATGGGACAGTGAGCAAGAGCTCCACCTATGGGAGCAAGCAGGACTCTATGGGAGTTTTCTGGGATCTATTGTCCCTCATGTATCATGAATAAATTTGTCAGAGAAATTCTGGTTGCGAAAGAACCCAACCTGGTTGTGACATGCCAGGTTGAGCTGTCAGCACTGACCCGTAGAACAATTATATCTAATGCCTGAACTTGAGCCAGCCCCATTGGGAAGTGACTGAGAGGGAAAAAATAGGAAATGCATTATGTTATTTCACAGCCACTTTTCTGACTAAAACTCCATTATGAGAAAGATCATTTGCACCTATTGGCGGGATAAATAGGAGGGAAGGTCTCCTTCCTCTCCTTATGTTAGGCTGAGAAGTGGCACTAAATTATTCTGATCGCAGAAAGATTGTTCCAGTAAAATAGAATTTGAAGCTCCCAGGGACGTGTTGAGAACAGAGGCTTTTACACGATTTAAAAAGGCAAGAGACAAAACCCCTCGCCAAACTCCTTCACTCTTTATTACCAACAGCTGCAATGCTGCATGTGTCCGGATGCCTTGTAAGTGCCAAGGGGAGTAATGGAGGTGGGACAGCATGTGAGCAGATACAATAGATGGTAGCTTCCCCTCAGCAGCAAGTTTAATTATTTGCACTATCGTAGGCTCAAGAAAAAAATTATATATATGGGGAAATGATTTCCCCCAGCTTCCTGCAGCAGGCAGGTTATGAAAAATATTCACTCTTGCTGGTTTATGACAAAAGGAGGCCTTTAAATATTCAGATCCCGTACATGCCTTTGGAATGGGGGAAGAAAAGGCAGAAGGAGTCTCCTACAAAAGCAAGAGTGCAAGAGCATGCAGGGAACGAACTAGCGTTCATTTCTCTGCATGAAGTAAGATGCCTTCAAGAAGTGAACCAAATCAAACATTAAATCAAAGAAAACCCCTTCCTCTGGGTGTCCCAGAACATCCCATCTTCTTCCTTCCTGTATAGGGACTGGAGCACACACAGTCTTTGTTTCATGTCTTACACAATACTTAGTACATTATTAGTGCTTAACAAATACAGAATGATCTATATTTTCAAACATGACAAATGATTTTGGGTGTCCCAGATTTTTGGGTGACCGGCCTGAGATACTTTAAAGGAGTCTGATTTTCCAAAAGTAGAGTGTCAAACCCTTGGAAAATCAGAACCTTTTGTGGTGTCTCGTTGTGCCAGGCACCCTAAATCACTAACTACTGTTAAAAATGTAGAACAATAAATAAATATCACTGCTACTATCATGCACTATATGAGTGCAGACCACTGGACATGTGATGTCTCCAATCTACATGCATCCCTTGGACGTATCATTATCTAAACCACAATTTGAGGTTATACACGATTTACTCAGCAATGCTAGTTACTCTGTGTGACCAAATCCTGCAGTTCTCACTCACTCCTGGCTCAGGAAAGTCTCCCACCGACATTAATGCCACTTTCACCCGAGTGAGGGCTCAGCTCTGAAGTGCAGAGCAACCTCAGCTTCTGTTAGCTTAGCACTTGCAAGAACAGGGCCTAAGGGAGGTGGTAGAATCTCCTTCCTTAGAGGTTTTTAAGGTCAGGCTTGACAAAGCCCTGGCTGGGATGATTTAACTGGGAATTGGTCCTGCTTTGAGCAGGGGGTTGGACTAGATGACCTTCTGGGGTCCCTTCCAACCCTGATATTCTATGATTCTATGATTCTAAGCAAGGAGTAGTGGGATTGCGGTGGGGCCCGATAAAGCCCCGGTTGCCTGAATACTGGATGGCGATTAGGAAAGTGCATTCTGCACCTTCTGAATAGATTAGGAGCCAGTCTTGAACACACTCCTAATGCATATGCATCACTACAGCTGCCTCTGATTTCTGAAGACAGAATGTCTTTGGGTGGTGTTGCTGGCACAGTGCACCTCTCGATCCCCCTTCTCGTTGTTACTTTGGCTGCTTAAGCCACAATTTAGCCCTTCATCTCTGTATTAACAAAACACTGGCTGATCAATGCATTAGTGTAAATACATTATACTGGGTTACATCCACAATGTAAGCTAGTCAGGCTTCATTTTTCATAGAGTCCAGTTTGTGGGTGCTTTAAGAGAGCATCCAGATCTCAACGGTGCACACAGATCCACAAAATGGGCATTTGCATGTCTGTGCACCAATCTGAGCCTCCAAATGGGAGATTTGGATGATCTGCCAGTAGTGGTGTTTGAAAACCAAGTTTGGAAAACATTGTGGGAGAAAGAAGAGACTTTAGGACTTGCCTCACAGGGAGAATTCCTAATTGGAGCTGGAAACACAGCGCTGGTCATGATGGTTGTTTCTGCCACTGGGACCTCACTGGTGTTTAGCAAGAATGCACAACCTAGATAAAAAACAAAAGAGAAGAGCAGACATGCTGTTGCCACTAACTTCTGGATGCAAGGTTTGTAAAAGGCCCATCAGAACATTCCTCTAAGAACCTTATCTAGTCTGGTTCCAATTGTGTTAACTGGTCCCTGTTTCAGGGGGATAACATATGACAAAAGGCATTTTTCAATTTAGTTTGGATGCAGTCAATACAGCTTCCCATACTCTAGGGCCCTATTCGGGAAACATATTTAAGTGATCTGGCTATCTTCTTCACACACATTATTTTTCTGCTTATGCGTAATTTGGGATTCATTTTCTTTGCTGGATCCACAACAAAATGCATGTTAAAAAAATTAATTTTAAGTGAATCTTCATGTTGGTGAAATATACCAGATTAATAGCAATGCAGTTGGAGTCCTGTCTGTTCCTTTAGGCTAAAGGTCACTCATCGTAACAAGGACTGCAGGAGGAACTGGAAACACAGATACTTTCTTGCAGAGGGCATAGGGAGTGGAGGAAAACGCAAAGGGAAATTCTTTGCTCTCTCTCTACACAGAGCCAGAGAGGGCTGAGTCTGTGGGAACGATCAGTGGGTCAAAAATGCGGACAATGCAGCGGCTGCAAGCTTCCACATAAGCTTTGCTCCCCCTGCCTTGGGGCAGGAGTACTTGTGAAAGACGAGAGATTAGGCTGCACTGAACCCTGCCTATATGGTGTGGAGAGGATTCCAGTTCTGTCCTCACCCTCCCAACTCCTATATGCTTCCCCTACAAAGAAACCTAGTTATGTGGCTTGGGTTGAATTTCACCATTGCAGAATAGAGAAATCATGAAGCAGCAACACTTTACTGTTCGCTCCCCAGGGTGCCCTCTCTAGCTCTCAATTATCTTACTTAGCCATGCCTCTTAATTTCTTTGTTCTCTGCAATATTGTGGGGCAGGTCATCCACTGGTAATGAACTGGCATAGCACCACTGCAGTCAATGACTCTACCCCAGCAAAAGAGCTGGCCCTTAACATTTCACTTTGTCGGTGTATTATTTAACTCTGAACAGTGTTTTTGGGATAGTGTGTACGGCAGACACTACTCTGTCTTATTACTGTTTTCCTTTAGTGGCTCTGCATCTAAGCAATAAATGTCTCCTCTGATTTATACTATTGTATGAGGGAAAATGTTCATGGAGGCAGGTAGTTTGTATGCCACATTTCAGCCTGGTCATAGTTCAATGCCCAGGATATAAACCACTGAATACTGTGGGTTTATGAGAGCAATGTTGAAATTGTAGGGGGAGTGGAGGGGAGTGTTTGTGTGTGTGTGTATTGGGGGGGGGGATTGAGAGATAATGGGGCAAAGAGGACACGGGATGAAAAGGAAAGCAAGGGATGGTGGGGAGGAAGGAAGCAGAGGCAGGATTAAAAGAAAGTAAATAAGGAATTGTGGAAGGGTGAAGGATCTGGCTGGCTTGGCAGGGTGGAGGCAGGAGGATGTGAAGAGGATAAAAAGGAATAAGGACTTATCTGAAGTAAAGTACAGAAGCTTGGGACACCAATCTCTAGTGACAAGACAGACAGGACAATGACAGCCCCAGTGGTCTCATGCTCAGTGTTTAAGGTGGAAAGATAGGTTTTGTTTCACTGAAAGCTGAATATAAAGGACTTATGAAAACAAGACAAGTGCAAATCCTGTGTTCTGCACCGAAAAAACCCTCCCTCTCTGTCTTTAGCATATCTCCACCCTCTTTGTTACCTGCCATTCATTCCCTGAATCTCCTGGTACACCCTCATACCTTCTAGTGAAGGGAAGTGGCTGTACTCCAGGTTTCCGATCTGCCATGAAGGAGTGAGAGAGGCGAGAGAGCCCTGGGTCCAGCCGCAATCCCCTTCTTCAAAAGAACAGTAAAAGCCAGGGGGGAGCTTTTCTGCAAGAGGGAGAATCCAAAAAAACACAGGAGAGCTGATGAGTGGATTCCTGGGCACAGCAGAAGGAAAGCAGTGAATGTTCTCCCAGGGTTATTTTGGAGCAGGCTGACTCTTCCCATCTCCAAGTGGCCATTTGCTGTTGCCCATCATGCCATGGGTGACAAGGTGACAACACTTCAAGGTGTGACTGTTGGCTGAAAGAGAGGGGCAAATCCCTGAGAGTCTGGACACTCAGGTTCTAGTTTCAACTCCACCCCTTATTCTGCTCTGATCTCAAGCAAGTCATTGCACTTCTTTGTGCCTCAGGTTCCGCATCTGTGAAAGGGGGATAGTAATACCTCCCCGACTTTGGAATGCACTTAGGGATGAAATGTGAACATTTTGTTTGCAACCCTATTTGCAGTTTTGAAGCTCCCTCTTTCATTTTGTTACTGGCTTGTGCTTTTTAACAGAGTTCTGCATTGTAAGTCCCAATGTTTTATTAGTCACTGGCTGCCTGTCTCTATGGTCTGGTCTACACTACAGAGTTAGATCGATGCAAGGTAGCTTACGTTGACCTAACTGTAGTAGTGTCTACACTTAAATTTCGCACCTGCCACTGTATCTTCCCCGGTACGCTGACCTAATACCTCTACCTCCATGAGCGGCATAGAATCAAGGTTGATGTAGTTAGGTCAATGCAGTGTCAGTGTAGACACTGCCTTACTTATGTCAACAGTTACTGGCTTTCAGGAGCAGTCCACAATACCCCACATTGACAGTATAATTGGTACAAGCACTCCTGGTGAGAGGACAGACAGTCCCTTAGCCCATGCCTTGTGAGTCCGAGTCAGTTGGCACCGGCCAGCGAGGGGTGTCTAATTGCAGGGTAGACAAGATATTAGACCACACACACACACACAAAGGTGAGTAAAGCAGAGTAATAACCCCTTTTAGCAGGAATGAGAGTGAATAGCAACTACACTTCAAAACAGCACTGGGGTTACACAGGGTGGTTTGATTAGCGGCACAGAATGACCGGATTAGTTGAGTGATTGAATTAGCTGCTGACAAGTTGCTGTGACTCAAGCTGTTGCACCTCCACTTCTTTACTTCAGCCCAGCCCCTGGATAGGCCAGCTAGCTCAATCTTAAAGCACCACTTTGCGTAGCCAATTAGTTCATTTTATCATCCATTATCATTGCATAGCTTTGAGATCTGGGACCTGTGTCTTGGGTTGTTCCTTTACTGCTCCCACTGGGACCATTAGGTCTGAAATTACAACTTGTGATTTTTGTGTGTGGAGACGAATTAGGGGTAATACTCGAGTTACAACTCCAGCCAATTGTGCTAGGAAGACACACCCACAGACACTGAATGCGGAGCAAGGAGTCAGAGGGAAGTGATTTGGTAAAGGTCACTGGCAGTGCCATTAACTCTTGCAGGAGAAACACAGGATCCTGAACATGTATCTTGGCCAGAAAGTGAAGGAAGGATGGATTCTCCATTATGTTGTTTGAAAATGTGATTTCAATATAGCTCACATAATCCTGCTAGCGACTGGGGAGCTGTGAAGGGCAATTGAAAAAACCAAAAGTGAATGCAGTGGTGACTGACAGCCCTGAAACCAAAACTACCTATCTTCTCATGTATATTTATTTAAAGTATCTATGGCCCTCATCACTGCAGTATCTGAGTTCCACAAGATTTAATAAAATGCTTCCTTCCCCCACTTCTTCATTTGCAGGAGTAGTTTAAAAGATCATTTCCTCAATCCATCCCCGAAGTTTTCTGTTTATACAAGAAGTATCATCTTGTCAGAAACTGTACAAGAGGCCTATCATCAAGATGCTGAGCACTATCAATACCCATTCACTCCATAAGGATCACAGGACACAGCTCCTCACAGGATTAGGCCGTAAACTTCTCTGCTCTCCCAAAGTGCCTCACTGCTGACATAGATATGTTAAGAGGGTAGTTCAGAGTCCATGGCCTATTCAGTTTTTGGTCTCTCTCCAGGAGGCCAGTTAGTCAATGCTGTGATGATTGTGTCTGTGATGTGAACATCTGATTTTCTAGGTAGGAATTGGACTGAGAATCACCAACTCATTCCACGTTGGCCACCAACAGTCATCACATGTCCATGGCTTTCAAGAGGGACTGCTCGGGCTAGCTTTGAACTTGGGACCTACGGTGGAAGTGAAAATCTCCTTATCCCATAGCCATCCAATCTACCATAAATCAAACCTTTAAAAGTACATTTTTGGTTTTGCCTTTTAAAGTCTCCAGATTTGTGCAGCCTTCCCTACACTCTCTAACTAAGACGACAGAAGCTTCACTTGATTATTTCACCATCTCGGCCTCAGGCTGGGATCTAGATAACATGACAGAACCAGGTGTGCCCTGAATTCCTATTGTAACAGCTCAGTGTGGTGTCTGATTGAATGCATTTTCCTGTCTGGGAGGCTGTAAACAAGCCCAAGCAGCGGGGGAGACATCTAAGCAACAAACCCTGCCTAGAGGCTAGAAAAAGCTGTAGCTCAGCTCGTGATGCACAATAGCAATAGAGATGTGTAATAAAAGCTATTACTACCACAGTGCATCTCTGTCCTCCTCCTCAAATATGTCATTATGAATTGCTGAATGTCCTGCACTCTAGATGTGCTGCATTCTCAACTACTATTGTTTAATGCTTGGTATATGTAGAAAAGCGATGGCACTCCATTTATTGCCATTCCAAGGAAAGCTTTCAGGATAGAAAAGGAGTACTTGTGGCACCTTAGAGACTAACCAATTTATCTGAGCATGAGCTTTCGTGAGCTACAGCTCACTTCATCGGATGCTGCTACTCTGAAACCTTTCAGGATAGAGCCATTCTAAACACGTTACCCTGATTCTTGGGATTTACACACAGCAGGCTCTCATTAGCATTACACAGATTAGTGAGGGCTATATGCACTGCGCAGAGGGAAAAAAAAACCTTCTGGATTGAAAAGGTAATATCCACATACACATTGCATGTTTCTGAAGTCCTTAGCTAGGCATAACTCACATTGTCTTCAGTGAGAGTTCTGCTTGATTAAGGAGAACAGGAGTTTTATGAGGGTTGGTGAAACCTACTGTATTTGATAGCATTAGAGACAGGCAAACCTCAAAAGGTTCAAACCACAGTGGGTATGTCTACATCGCAACGTAAACTTGAGCTTAACCTCGGGCGCAAACCTAACCCCCCTTGTTTCTACACTGAAATTGTGCTAACTCAGGGCTTGGTCCCAGTGTCTCAGGACGTGCAGGGTTCAAGCATGAGTCAAGCCAGGACCCAGGGTTCAAGCCCTATTGCTTTACAGTGTAGACACACCCCACTTGACTCATGTCCCGGGAGTCCACCAGAAGTATCCCACAATTTCATGGACTGACTTCCTTAGTTCTCTCTATCCCAACAATCTCCACTTGACAACTGAAAACAGAAGCCACCGCCCTTGGCATGGGTGGGGGGTATCGTAGGCCAGGGGAGGCCAAGTCTTCCCAAACAGCAAGGTGTGGCCCCGCCTATGCACCAACCTGAGTCCGCCTCCTGCATCTTGCTCTTTCCCTGTAGCCCTAGCCCAGACTGCTCCTCTTCCCATCTTTGCTAAGATTCTCCCCCGAAGAGGGTTGGGGCGAGAGTGGGCCATCTGGCTGGCCCGGGGCTGCCCAGTGCTCTGACTAGCCAGCCCGGGCAGGATGGCCTGGAACTCGGGGCAGCAGGGGTGGGGCTCCTCTGGCTGTGAGTGGGGAGAGGAGGGCAAGGCCAGGGGCTAGCCTCCCCACAGGGGGGGTTCATGCACCACCTATGTCCCTTGGCGTACAGCAGCAGCTCAGTGAGTCAGCATTAATCCACTGTCTTCTGATCAGCGAGCTGCAAGCACACCACTGGAGAACCTCCTGGGTTTGCCGTGGAGACCAGACTGAACAAGCCTTTTGCAAAGCATGCTGCTTCATGGTCTTGGGCACACAGCCAGATTTTGGTGAATCTCTGGTGCAAGGCCAATAAAACTGTGGCCTTCAGCAAAAGCACCAGGAATGATCATGTGTACCAGCAGATAGCTAAGAAGCTGGCAGTTTTTCCAGTCTGGTGATCAGTGCAGGGAGTGTATTAAGAAGCTGAAAAGCGAGTACCAGACAACCAGGGACAAGAACCGCACCTCGGGCAATTTGCGATCATCATGCCCATTTTATGAGGAGTTGACCAGGTCCTAGGCACTGCACCCAATCATTCATGACGACCTAGTCAGTCTGGATGGTGCTGGGCTAGCCCCTGAATCCAGGCAGGAGACTGATGGGAGCCAGCAGCAGGCTCCAGTGAGGAATATGAAGTGACTCTGTTTATGAAACCAGTCCCAGAGTAGGCTGTGGATCAGGACCAACAGTAAATTCTAGGTCCCTACTTGGAAGAGCTGTTTGACGCATCTCATCCTGAAGAACACTCTGCTAGTGAGCCTGCAGCAAACCCAGTGGAGACAGAAGCTGCTCCAGAGCCCGGTAACTTTCTGACTCCAATATAGTTTATTACTACAGTAATGTGAGAGATTTCTGCTCTAAGAAGCACTGCAATAGTTATGAGAAGCCCTGGCTACCAGCATGTATCCGCTAAAGGTGGATTATATCACACCACCTTAGCACCCTCTTCCCCCACCTCCCCTCTACCATATAGAGTTCAAAATGGCACCTGGGAATTTGAAACATTAAAAAACAGCGTTAAAGAGTATTTTCACTGCAGAGTCACAGATGTTTGCTAGGGTCATTCATGTTTTCCTTGCAGTAGTAAGGGCTTGAAATTGGCAGCTTTGTAATCAGTCCACAGTCTGTGGAGCAGCCTGGAAACAGTGAACTCAGTGTGTGCATTTGGGAAACCGTTTTCTACTTCCTAATCTAGTCCATTTCAGTTAGAGGTAGTCCATGAAGTCTGCAGGTCACAAAATCACTTCTCCCAAGTGTGAGTGGGGTGTCTGTTTTTGTCCAGAACTGTGTTGGGTGTGAA